CTAGTGGAAATTCCCTCTGGGGTCAGCACCGTACGGGCTGTTAGAGTTGTGGATGTTTCGTTCGGCTTTAGGGAATCTTTGGGCGCTTGAGCCAAAATAGCCGTATTTAAGAGTTCATGATTCGGCGCATGTTTTTTCCAGGGTGCCTTTATATGATGCATGACTGCATGACCCTCGATGCCCTACAGATCCCGAAGCCTCTGAGCGGGTCAATCCGGACTGTCGCGTTGCTGGCCGTGAGCCAAGCTGAGCTGCTGAACTTCATGCACAATGTGGATTCCGATAAAGCCTGAAGTTCTGAAGACCCAACTTTCTGGAGGGCCGTTCACTCCCGGCCTGCACGCGCTTCGCGATGCTTCCGATGCTTCTTCTTCCTCTTCCGGATTTTTTATCTCGAGCTGCTTGTGCTTGACATGGAGGGTCCCACTTGGTAGAACATCGTTGCGATGTAGATCACGCGGGTCCTTGGTTTCATTCAATGGCCGCCAGGACGGTATCTCCTACATGGTCTTCTTATTAAAGGAACAACAGAAATCGTTTGAGCACAGGGTTCAGGAAGTTGACGAAGTCGACCGCAGGATTGCTTTCCCCAAGTAAACGCAACGTAGATTAGCCCACTTGGTGATCTGAGATCCCTTTGAATGCAGGGCCTACACATGCCTCTGTGGTACTTCCATGCATCGCCCTCGGTGGTCTCAAGTCTCAATGCATCGACTATGCGGATGTCACTTGTATGTGTTGGAAGCACGAGCCCTGCGCAAGGATGACACGCTTGCAGGCCTTTTTGCTCAGCGTATATAAAGTTGTTGCGAGTTTGGGGATACGGTTTGAGCCTAGAGTCCCGAAACTTAGCTAGGTTCTTCTAAGGGCCCAACCCTCTAGAATCCTCAAAAAAGGTTAGGAGCCCAAGCTCCCTTAGGTATCTAAGTTCTACTGGGCAGGCCTAGGTCCCTTCGTAGTGCCCTCCGCTGCCTGAACTTTATAAGTCTAGATTTGAGGTTCTAGCTCAGTCAGGTGGTTTCTAGATCTGAGCTGTGTAAGAGTAGTGAGAAAGCCTCCCGAGCCCCCCATGGACCCTACGCTCCGGCGACGTAGGCAGGAGCCAGATGCCAGGGACGTGGCTCAGGAAGAAGCGCTGGCAGATGGGCCAGTGGCTCGCCCTTTCTGGTCTGATCGAGCTCGAGCTGAAGCGGACCTGATGAGGGCGAGACCGTCAGACCTGGACCCAATGGGTGACAGGCTTCCGGAAGTTCGGGTCGATCAGGTTGAGGTTCACCCGGCTTATGGAGGCGAAAGCAATGTTGGTGGTGGCAAGGGCAAAGGTTCACCTCCAGGGACTCTAGAGTCGGATGTCCTGAGGGCTGCTTCGGGTAGGGCCGACGGACACTCTAGAGGAAGGAACTCTACAGTTGAGCAACCTCGAGATCTTCCGGGAATCCAGGAGGTAGAATCAGCTGAAGACAACCACCCTGCAGCTACTCCAGAGCCTTTGGACCTCCTTTCGATGTCACCAGTGGAACAAGCTCCGAGCGAGAACCAGAAGTCCTCTCCGAAACATCCTGGCACGCTGGAACCAAAGCTGACTGGACAGCTGCGCGAGCTGAGTTCGGCCAAGATTGGCACGCTGGCTGAGGTTCAGAACCCTTCGGGATCTGGAGCACTTGATTCGGAAGTTGGGGGCTCCTCCAGGGCTTTTCAGCGGCCGACTTTGGAGACTTCAGAAGATGTGGGTGCCCAGGAGGTTTCGTCAACGACTGTTGAGAGTGTTTCGGATGGGAAGGTTCTCAACATGTCTCACTCTTTCAGTGGTGAAGCTTCGGGTAGTGTAGGAGTGAAGGAAGGGCCGAAGGTGCTAGTGAAGGCACAGCGAGGAGGTCCATCCCTCTTTCTCCAGAGGGTTAAGGGCCTCTGAAGGGGGATTGGCCTACGAGATCTCGGATCCTTCAGAACAGCAGTTTGAGATCGCTAGGCTTAGGTCCCTGGTTGAGCATTTGCACGATAGGCTAGAGAGGGCCGAGACTGAGCATAGTACGAGGGGATCCACATCTGTTGGGTCGGCTTTTTCAGGGCGTAGTGTAGAGGAATCAGGGCTCAAGGGTCGAAGGGTAAACTGTCAGAGTTCGGAAGGGTTATCCTTTGCCCCCAGTGCCTCCTCTTCCTCCGTTTGCCTCTGAAGGGTGGCATGCTTGGGCTTTGTCCGATCCCCTTCAGTCCTCACCTGGCCAGATGGAATTCTTCAGTGCACCACAAACCTCTTCATCTCCACCGATGGATTTCGAGCCACCCTCTTCATGCTTGAGCGGCCCCTGCATGGCTGTTTCTCCCTCCGAAATTCCTACTGTGGACTTGGGACTTCAATCTTCTGTTGGGCCTCCGAATGCCCATCATCCTGCAGGGCCTCCGAATTAATGCCCTTATGATGGAAGATGGGGTAACCTCCCATGCTTTCTCTCCGGCCGAGGTTCCGTGGATGGACTTTGGATTTCAATCTTCGGCGAGTGCTGGCCCTCAGTACTTCGCTCTGTCTCCCCGTGCCCAGTTGCCTGTGTCGTCGGGTACAATAACGGTTATGGGAGTAAATCATAAATGGAGGATAGCGAATGGGTCTTTGGTCCTAGAGCCGGTTGAGCTAGTTCCACCGCCGCCTCCTCATCATCCTTCTTTCTCGCTCGCAGCTCCGCCTCATGTGGCGTTGAGCGCGTATCCCACTGTGCCTCCCAAGTATCCTTTCGTTGGGAGTTCACCCACTCCAAGGCCGCCTCCCTTTTCAGGGGCATCAGGGCATCAGGTGTCAGCCCAGGCGCGCTTCGCTCTCAATCTCCACCACCTCGTCCTCCAACTTCTGCCCCGCCTCCAAGCCCGCCAGCCCCTGGGGGTGTTCGTCTTCCTTTCGCTGCCCCTTCGGTTGCAGACAGTAGCAAGCCAGCACTGCGAGAGCTTAAGTTAAACATGTAAGTTCCCTCCCCGTCCTTGGAGCCTACAACCCTGGCAACCCTACGGCGCTAGGAGACTGGATTGCGGTAGTGCAGCCTATGCTGTCTTCGTTGTCGGACACTGGGAGGGAGTGTTTGGTGGGGTTATACTTGTACTTTTCAGGCTGCCAATCAGGCATATGTGAGGTGGCTTGCAACGTCTCCGCTGGAGCGCTTGTCAACTCAGCAGGAGTTTGATCAGGTGAACCTTGTTCAGCCCCAGCACGCGCTGTTGGAGCAAAGATGTGTCACTTTGATTCTTCAGTCGATTCCTGATGAGTTGAGAGTTGATATCGTTGCCTCGAGGCATCTGAGTGTGGCCGGCATGATCTTTCGTCTTATGACGGTGTTTCAACCGGGGGGATCCTCGGAACGGGCCACCATGCTCGCTTTCTTGTCACCCCGAAGGTGGCTGCCACTTTGACTGAGGCCGCCAAGTTGCTCCGCCAATGGGCACAATGGCACATGCGCCTGACGCAGCTTCAAGCTGCAGAGCTGGACACCACCCTTTTGGTTAAAGGGTTGGACACGTTGACTCAGAAGGCTCTCGCCCGGCATCCTTCCAGCCTCTTCCGGCTGGCTACGTTTCACGAGCGGTTGGGGATTGACTATGCCCCGACCTCAGAAGTTGTGCTGAATATGAGCGGTTCTTGTTGCGCAACCAAGCTGCCCGGGACACTTCTGAACGGATGTGGCAGCATGCCTTTGGTCAGGCTGAAGTCAGCTTGTCTTCGTTGAAGGAATGGCTTGGCAAGCACTTGCGCAGTGACTCCTGCGGTGAGCTTGAGCTGCAAGCGGTTGCAAAGGTTCTGTTTCCAGACCTCCCCGAGACTCTTGAGTCACAGGTGGCAGCGTGCCCTAGCTTTGATCCCTCCTGTGTTCCCTTCAACCGCCGGACCAGGAGACGCCTCTTTGATCCTCAGGTTCCCACTACGGTGCACCTGTTCGCAGGCCAGCAACGCTGGAGAAACTCCGTGGGGCAAATCCTTGAGATAGACATCGCTAAGGGCGCTGAGCTATTGTCATATGATGTTTGCGGTATGCTGCTTCGTGCCGCCACTCTGGGTGTCATTGATGGGGTTGTGATAGCCCCTCCCTGCAGGACCTTTAATCCAGATGCCTCTGCCCCGACCTGTAATGGCTTAAGCTTCCGGGGATGAAGGCGAGGAGCGGTTTGGTTGTCAAGGCCTAAGCCACGCCGACCGGTCTTTGGTTGATCGGGACACTCTGTTGTTCCTGAAATCTCTGCTGTTGACCCTTGTGGCCTCCTGTGCCAAGGAGAAAGTCTTCACGTGCTCGGAAATGCCAGAGGGCTCCACTGCTTGGGAGTGGCCTGAGTATGAGAATGTTTCTGTGTGCTTGGGTGGTTGGACGGCAACCTTCGACCAGGGCACTCTGGGTAACCCTTGCTCCAAGGCCAGTGCTCTGTATACCAGCAGCTTCCAGCTTTATGAGTCTCTCCACGAGATGAAGCCTCCCCTAGAAGCGGTCACGAATTTGACCTCTGATTTTCGTGGTTACGGATGGGCGCCGGGTTTTGGGAAAGCTACTGTTATCTCAGCTCCAGGCCATCACCCGGGAGCGCGAAGGCCCGCTCCTCAACTTGTGTCAAGAGGCCCTTATGGCTAAGATGTCCCCTGAGGTTTGGGAAAGGCACTGCCAGTCGGATCACATTCCTTATCGCAACGACTGTGTTGTTTGCATTCTCAAGGAGCGTCGCGTGACCGCTCCCACCACACCAAGCATCCGCATCTGTTTGAGCTTATAACAGTGATGTTGCCGGTCCCTACCACAAGGGCCGAGACTTTGGGGGCAAGTGCAGATATTTTGTGGTTTTTACCATAAGGGTGCCGGTCAAAAGTGAAAAGGCGGATTGGGTTGCAAACTCTTCGGATATAGCTTCTCAGGGGGAGAGGGCTGAAGCCGAGGCACAAGAAAAGCAGGATCCTCATGAAAGCCTTGTGTACCAGCCGGTGCAAGTCACCGATCGGGCTAGGGAGTTTCGTGGGCGGTCTTTGGAGAGGTTCCTAGCTGAGCAGGGCATCCACTCTACCAGGACCGCCCCTGAGGACCATGCAGCCAATGGTGCAGCAGAAGTCGCTATTCGCGAACTGAAACGGTGCGCTCGCAAAGCGTTGATATCATCAAATCTAGAATCTAGAGTCATGCCATTGGCCGACGGCCATTCGGCACGTCGGAGAGGTCTCTTGGCGCAGGGGCATCTCGCGTCTTGGAGGAGCTTCCAGACCTCTCCTGCCACACGGCACACCTGTTGAGGCGAGGGTCGGGGATCCTGGTCGGCCCGGCGCCGCAGACGCTTTCTTCGTACTTTGTGCTTTTCGAGGATGACACAATGTGCATCACTTCGGCGGTGTATCCTGTGGATTATCAGTCGCGCCCGTCTTCTTACAATCCGGAGCCACCTTTGCGGCCAACTCCTCTTTCAGGGCAAAGCGCAGGCGTTTTCCAGGCTCCTCAATATCGCCGCCCTTCCAAGAGCCCAGCAGTGCGAGTTAGTTTGCACGGCCCTTCTCTTCCTGCTGCGGGGGGGATGAGTGCTTTAGCAGATGTTTCGGATTTTTCGAATGTCCAAGGTCGGGCTGAGGAGTCGACTGAGTCAGATGCTGAATCGCTTGATTTCCTGTCTGATCCACAGCAGGAGATCCCGGCTTTTCAAGAGGCTCGGATGAGTCTTTCTACAGACTTTCTTCAAGGTGCTCTTGAGGAGCTCTCGGCTTCAGAGGAGGGTGAGAATCCAGGAAGTTTGGGGGAGATCCAGCATAAGGAAGCGTCTTCTTCAGAAAGCTTGGTTGTAAGCTTAAGGGTTGCAGGGGAGCCTCCAGGTGATGCTAGAGTAGCTAAGTTTGTAGGCCCCAACCCGCAGAGGATGCCGGAACCTCGTCCCCGCCCTAGTCGGTCCCGCCGAGCACTGCTGTACGTTTCCTTGGGTACTTTGAGCCCGAGCAGTGGCGTGCTCTCTGCACTTAGAGGAGGAAGAGTTTGAAAGGCAGTTAGCGGGTTTCGTTCCAATACTGGATCCTGGCGATGCGGTGGATGATGATACTGAAATTCCCTTAGCTTTCTTTAGAGCCACTCTGCAGAATCACCAATGGGATCTTCAACCGGTGATCATGGTAACCGACCTTCATGGTCAACCAGAGCCTCTTGTGGAGGTGTTGCAGCATCATGATGATGATTCCTCTATGTATGCAGATGAGGGGCAGTTTCTGGACCGCCTTCTTGTGTTCATGATGTGGAACTTCCGCCAAGGGCGAACTCAGGTTCTTCTTTTCCGCATCACTGAGGCTCGTGAAGAGCAGCCCGCAGAGCGTGTGCTTCAAATGCCAGGTCCAGAACCGCCGGCAGTGATGAAGTTTCGAGTCAAGGCGTTCAGGTCGGCTCGGGGAGTGCCTCTTCCAGCCATCCGATTTCCTCTTCAGGCTTTTCCTCTGGTTTCTTGATGGACGCAGCTTCGGGTTCTATGGTAACCTCGAGCTCCGGAAATGCCTCTACGGCTGCTACTCTTTCTACAGAGCAGTCTACCATTGTGGAGTGGCGAATTGATCCACCCAGCTTCCCGCTCTATCAAGCCTTGTACGCTGATGCCCCTCTAAGCCCGTTCATCGCCCAAGCCGGACTTCAAGGATGCATGCAGGTGGTTGAGAATGATGACGAGTTTGAGAAAACCCTGCATTATGCCATTCGGGGGTATGCCGCTTTCAAAAGGGGTGTGCAAGTGATTCCCAATGGTGTTGCTCCTAAGATAGGCTGGTTGGTGATCGGAGCTGTAATCTGTAAAAGGTTTCAAGAAGGCGCTGCGATTGAGCCTGAGGAAGGATGCTTAATTCCTGAGGTCATCTCAGGCATCGCAAGAGGTACTACCACATCCACGATGACTCCAGCTGCGCAAGCAGCTCCGTCTATATGTATGATGCTTGGCTTGCCGCGCGGGCAGCCTCGTCTAGTGCAGCTGGACCGGGTGTAGCATCAGATCCTCCTCGGTCTTCGGCCTCTCCTTCTGGTAGTGGTTACCCCCAAGCCTGAGATCCTCCTCGGTCTTCAGCCGCTCCTTCCAGTTCGGGGTATCTACCAACTGCTGAATGTCACCAACCCCCGATTGCCTCTTCGAGTTCTGCTAACGAAGAGGTACCTGCAGCCCTTGAGCCTTCCGAACCCGATGGGGATTCTGAGTCCACTTTGAGCCATCCCAGGCTGCATAAGCTTGACCAGAATAACAGCGCTGATGTTAATGCTCCAGTGGCTGGCTGGGTGAGGCAGCATGGGATCCTCACAGACGAAGAGGCAATTCAGTGGCAAGCCGGTATTCCTGCGGACCCGACTGTTGTTTGGAACCCTCTTGATGTTCAGAATTTTGGATCGCTCAACCATGCTATCCTTCGGCCAGAGCAAGCTTTTGTGAACTTTGTGATTGGACTCTTTGTCCTCCGAAGCCGCAATTGGAATACTCACCCTGAGGTTAGAGTGATCTGGGATAATCGGTTTGAGAACCACCCTCCAGCTACAACGATTGGTCCCTTTCCCGGTAACTACACCTACCTTGTCAGGACCCAGGACTTCTCTACTGCAAGGTATTATTCTTTTAGGGTTTCGGGGTCGCTTTACTCCGTTTAGGTTTTAGGGTTCCCCCCTTTCTATAAGCACACCTTTTTGTACGTTTTAAGGTTTGCAAGTGCTGTGATAGATGTAACAGTAGCACTAGTGGCCGTGGGCATCATTGTCTTCATTGGTGTTGGTAGTAGTCGTAGCAGCTAGCGGAGGAGGAGGACGAGGCGGAGGAGGAGGAAAACGAAGAGAGAAGCAAGAGTAACAGTTTAAGGAACAATATTTAGTGGTCTTCGTTGTAGCCTCGGTTTCGGTAGTCCCGAAACCCTAAGCGGACCGAGGGTTTCCTATTTCAAGTCCCACCCAAGGGCCTCTCGTTCGAGACTGTTGCTTCCAAACAATAACAAAGACGCAAGAGACACCAAACAAAACGACGCAAGTGACTCCCCTTCCCCTAAGTATTTTGGTAGTTCAGTTCTTCGTTTTTGGTCTTAGTGGGTTTTCGTATAGAGTGCCAAGTTTCCATACACATTTGTACACAGTCTGTACGCACATGAATAAATATGTGAATAAATATGAATACACATACTTAAATAAATATACATGTGTGTATCTGTAGTACATTACACATACTGTACATACATATATATACATATATATATATACACACACATATCACTTGCAATGCCTGGCTGATGCCGAGGAGGCTGTTTGTGACTTAGCAGCAAAGCAACAACAGGGCATCAAATCTTTGAGGTAAGTAGTTTCTGCCAATACGACATCGTCAGCATTCGTCGGCTGCAGATGGGGTGCAGAGATCACAATGCATGTGCACTTACGTAGAATGATCTGTCGGTCTTTTATCAGGACATGTTTGTTTGCAAGTATGCAGCCGACCAATCCATCCACGCGTGCACATGCACATGCACTCACGCTCGCTCTCTCAATCTCTCTCTCTCTCTCTTTCTTTCGCCAGTGTTCCGGGCTCGAGGGTTGTCCCTCTCGCCCGCGCGCTCTTGGCGCCCCCGACCGTTGTGGTGGGGCGTGGAGAAACACAACGCACTACCGAGGCAACTCTCTCAGAAAGGGAAAAAAACAGCTTGCACAACGAAGGGCAGTGTACTCCGTCAGACTCCACACTAGTAAAGTTGTTGCCATGGAATCAGTGCGAGCATACTCGTGTCGAGGCCTTCCCCCGGCTTAACATGACCAAACCAACAAAACTACAAAGAGCTCAGGACCTCAGACCAGGAAAGGGAAGGCGCTCTCAAGGAAACGGTAACTGCAGCAGTGGGTGTGACCCCCTATTGAGAAGCATCCCAAAACAGTGAACCCAACAAGGACAAGCCCATGAACCTACCTCTCTCTCTTTCTCTCTCTCTCGCACACGCACACAAACACGTACACATACACACATGTGGACATACTCCCATGCCAACAAGCAAACAAACAAGCAAGCAAGCAAACAAACACACATGCA